TGTAATATAAGTCTTTGGTGTCCCCAGAATGTGTCTGAAGTTTCAGCTCAAAATACTCAACAGATCATTTATAATATCATTTTGAAAATGCCTATTTTGAGTGGAAGCAGAAACACGCTGTTTTTCGGGCCTGTGTCTTTAAATGCAAATAAGCTGCTGCTCCCCGCCCCCTTTTCCAGAATAGAGTTGTGCCATACAGCTCGGACCTGCTAAAAACATCTGTTTTGGTTCTGATTATCATGTTTATCGCGCTGAAATCATGAGTTTTAAACCATATGAGTTTAAACTTCTGATACCGTGTTTTCTGAGTGCACACATCCGAAGCACACGGACAGAAAGCGACTGTCACAGCATGTGAGTACTAAACTAAGTTCTCATTCACACACAAGTTTACATTAAAAACGCACATGAGTTATAAAAAACAGTCAGTTATGTCTGTGAAGGTAAACATCTGGGAAATAAATTGCATGTTTATTTTAGATCTGTGTGGCAGCAGCAATATACAGTAAATAAATCAATAAATCCTCTACTCTCTTGTCTCCTCTGAGGCTGGGACTGTAAATAGTGTTCTGTGCTCGTCTGTGCAGCCAAAGACAGAACAGTTAGCATGTTTTGCTCAAACTTTCACCATGGCATTAGAGCTGGTACACCATTGTAGCTTGCGAAATCAAAATGAAGGCACCGTGGGTGAAAACTTACAGATTAATAAGGGGCGGTAATATTATAATGAGATCCCTTTGCCACGTCACCAAGGGAGCGAAATCAGAAGCGAAGGCTTCCCAAAACAAAGTTACTGGGTTAATCTTTTTCACATTTCCTTGGTTGGTAGATGCACCGGGGAACTGATTATAGCATTATATATAGAAAAGTCAGATTTTCATGATATGTCACCTTTAAATACAATTTGATTAGTGCCTTTATCTACAAAAAAGGCTGCACAAAAAAATAACCTCACAAATGTTGGACAAGAGTCAGATTATCTATTATTCTATGCCATTCTCAAACAAATTTAAAGGGTTTGGTTGCCAACAAAACACAATTAAATTGTCTATGCAATTTAATAATCATGCATTATGCCCATTCCTCCATATAAATGACTCCAAAAGGTATTTGAACACTTAAGCCACATTTAAAATGTATAAATTAAGTATCAAACCAAGCAGCATATGTGAACAAATGATGCTAGTCCTTTCGGAACTAACCAAGGTCAAGTAATATTAGTATGAAATAAGTTCACACAGGTGCCACTAGTAGAGTAACCACACGTGTATTTCTTCACATTAACTATATGTTCTACTGTCTGTTCTGATTTGACAACCAGAAAGTATGGTTGTGCAACCTGTCTTTAAGATAAAAACCACTTGGTATGGTATTTTGTTATCTAATACAGTGGAATTTATATATTTACATTGATACATAAGTGTCCAAATGCATTTTGGGGCCAATGTAGCTATGTAAAGCATTGAATCGAAGCATTGAATTATGTACAATTACACCAACGTCTTGCTCTAATACCATTTCAGAGGAAGAGACTTGTCCATTTCATAAATATGCTCTGGGAGCGATATGCCGACATTTCATCGGGGGTTTACTCCAGCTAGATGCCACTGGTCAAAGTTTTCTTAATTCTATTGGTGTATAAATCAACCCCGTTCCCATACATCAAACATGGCTGTCACGAGGTGATGGAGGCGCGGGGGGAGGTGAGAGAGAGGAGAACGGAGGTGAGCGGGTGCCAAAGCGATCATGTGTTCCCCACAAGCAGCAGGAGGAGATCCGTGAAGCCAAACGGAGAGGAAAAGATGAGCCAGGAAAGGCAGATGTGCCTGTGTCATGTCTGTTATGAACAGTCTTCCCACCTTGTGGTAACACTGTGAACTGTAACTGCAGGAGAGCGTGATCGAGAAATAGAGAGAGGGAGCGAGTGGAGGGTGGGGTGGGGATAAAGAGAGATAGAGCGAGAGGGAGTGTGAGGAAGGGAGAGAGCAAGGAAGGAGAGAGAAAGAGAAAGGGTGAGGGATGGAGAGAGAGACAGAGAGAGAGAGAGAGAGAGAGAGAGAGTTTATACTTAGAGCTATGTTTTGGGATGAACTAATCTGCTAGAGAGCAGTGTGAGGATCGGAACGCATTGTGTGAGCGAGTGTGTGGAGGACAGATAAGGGAAGAAGCCCGGCAGACTGACTGCTTGTTTTAATGTGCTGACTCTGGGGAGCTAAAAAAAAAAAAAAAAAAATATTGACTCTTCAGTCGTGCGGCGTGAGCCAGGGCACAAGCGCCACATTTAACAGAGGTGCTCCAGAAAACACGGGCGCGAGAGAGGAGAAAATACATCCAGCCAGACAGCACATATAGAGGATTTCTCCTTCCTTTTCTTCTTTTTTTTTTAATCTGTTCATTTTTCTCTATTTTTTTCTCGGGACTGATTCCCATTTCCAGTAGCAAAAAAGGAGCCGTAGAGCCACGAGAACACCAAAAACCCCCACAAAAAATCGTCAAGAAACGAAACACCGCCAACAAGATGTTTGAAATCAGCCGAACACTGAATGCTGCTTTGTTGAGCAATGAGGTAAAGGAATTGGATTTTCTTCTTCTGTCACCTCACTTCTCTAAGTGTGTGTTCATTATTCCGTCGTGCGTAACATTTCTATGTTTTATCAGTGTGTCCATGCTTCTAAATGTGGCAGCTGACAGGTCTAAATGAATGTGCAGGGATTGAGCATTTAGGTCCAGTTAAACAGCTGCTAGCTGAAGGCAGATCCTCTTTGCTCTCCGGGCGTACTGTAATGGATGAGAGACTAGACTCGCTCTCTCTCCCTCTCCCACGCACAATCATTTCATTTTCTCATTTACTCGAAGCAAGATAGCTGTAACTGCTGAGCTTGCTTGATGACTTGCCCATCTGGGGCTTGCACTGACTGTGTGCGTGCGTGTTTGTGTGTGTATAGCACGAATGTGAACGTAAGCACACGGCTCTCTATCACTGTGGCAGTCCAGTTTTCTCTTTTCATTCCGCCTTTTGCTTTTTCTTTAGCCTGTATATTTCGTTACCACCTTGGCTAGCATTCTGTTCTGTTCCTCTTCTCTTCTTTTCTCCTCTTCCCTGTAAACGCGCACATCGCGAGCAGTGTCTGAAGATGATGGTAAGGTGTTCACAGAACTCGGCAGTAGCCCAGGTGGAAGGCTCCTTCTCAGGCATGGGCTCGCTGCTTTTCCCCCGAGATCTATCCAGTCAACTGGGGGCCAGGGCGCTGGGGGTAAGAGGATAGATGGATCCGTCAGACAAATGAATGAGAAAATAGACGGCACAGTAGAATAAGAATACTAACTTCATTTAGGTAAATGTGTGCAGCCCTTAGGCTTGAATTAGCCAATATTTTCATCCCTCAATGTGTGATGATATGGCCGCCCACTCCGACTAGATCTTTCTATCAGTTAGCCAGAGAGAAAGAGAAAGAGAGAGACAGATTGCGAGAGAAAAAGCAGCTGGTGTAAGTGTATTGTTTGTGTATTCCTGCTCGGAATGTGTTTGTGCGGTGGTGTACTGATGCCTGAAATTGAAAGTGTGAAATTGTGTGTGAGTGTGTATGCTTAAAGTCATTTGAGCATAGTGAGGTTAGATGGCTAAAGGACAGATTTTTGTACGTACGTTTTGTTTCGGGCATCATTCTGAATTTCAAACAACTTTCCGAATGTGTTGTGTTGGTGCTCTGCAGCCTTTTAGCACAAACGTGCTTGGAAACGTGTGAAATAGAAAGCATGTGTCTTATACTAAACAGTCAGTTACAAAACTACCTCAAGTTAAACAATATGTGAGTGGCTCTATTATAATTCTTTTAATTTGTAGCACATCAAAATTAAGTTGTTTTATTTCTCCACTGATAGGTGGCCATAATTGAGCATACTAGTATATAAATAGCTGGCTAAGGCTTTTCCTGATTATAATGACTGTGTTTTTAGTCTGGAGCTATGAAAGTGGATAACCATCCTTATGATCTCATTCAGTCATTTCTGATCTTCTACTACAGTCTTGGGGGGAAGAGAGATGGCTGTATGGGAAAGCCCTGGCTGGCTGGCTGGTGCTGTAAGAGCCGGTCGGTTAAGAATAAATCCCTGACTTGGTGCATTAAATCGACACGAAACTGTGGGTGTCTAATCTGTGATGGGCTCTCGTTCCTCGTCTCCACAAAACAGGATCAGCCTGCCTGCCTGGAGCCGCACCACATTCTCACACAAATCAGACTCAAAATGACAGCACTGGAGCTCCTCTGCCAGTGCACACACACAAACACACAAGTGTACATACACACACTGCGATCGCATGCAGCTGGGTGTTCATAGGCAGAGAGAGCAGATTTTTAAACCCTTCTTTGCAACCTTTCTGAGGTGTGTGTACACACTTGCCTTAAAATCCTCCGCAGATCAGGGATTTGAAACATTTTGCATATTCATCCTGGTGATTCTCCAGCTCTAAGATGACAGAAAAAAGAAACAAGACATGTAAAGTCACAACCACAAATATTCTCATTTGAACTACAATTATTTTACAAGTAAATCTGGAAAATCACTGTCATCCAGCAATCAGTCACTATTTGGCCTGGGAAAGCGGAAAATCTATGCATCATTTAATATGTAATGAAAATTAGCGACAGCGGTATGTATGCGTCACTAGTCGTTGTAAACCGTGTGACTGCGCAAAGTGTTATTCTAGATTTTTCACATTGGCAGAACACTGAATCAGTTCACAAAAGTAGAAATCTTTTTTAAGATAAAGATGGTTTGATGAGAAGTGGTTTCTCTCTGTTTCTCTTTCCACCTCGAGAGACTGTCAACAGTTTTAATGTTCTACTTCTGCACTTTTCATATTAAAGATAGAAATAATAGAATAAAACATTGATATATGAATTTTTCAGCTGCTATGTCTGGCATAATTTCATCTATTTTTTACTGTTATGAAATAACAGTCATTGTACATTACATGTGATTATTTGTTTTATTTCTGGATATAAAATATACCCTTGCCAATTTTCTTCTTAGTTTTTTTTTCCCGCTTCATTTGGATAATAAATTGTGCTGTTTATTCGTTTAGGATCAGGAAAATATGTCTTTATCTCTGCTAGACTGTTTCTTCTTGAAAAAAATCTGCATTCGTTACTTACATTTCTCCGCAGACACACAACTCACATTTCAGATTGTAATTAACCAGGTTAAATCAGACCATCGTTACAGTAATTAATTGTGCCTTCATTAACTGAAGCCAGATAATTTGCATACATTAAATCATTGTACAGGAAAGAGGTAGAGGTCTGTTTAGGCATTTTTTGTGAGGGGGAGATTTTATTCTTTTTTTCTAGTTCTCCGTCAGTTGCTTTCAGACATTTTGCCAAGAAAAATGACTAGAACATTCCATCTGGATGCAGCTTTTTCAATTAGATTTCTATATGCGCAGCATGTTTAGTATTCATATATCAAAGTAATGATTGTATTTTATGATTAAGTAAATTAATCAAGCAATGAAAACACTCAGAGCTAGATCCGAAGATGTTTTTATAAACATAAACTGACATAAAAAAGTAATGCGCAATCATGAGAAGCAATGGATCACTAACTCAGAGATCACTATTTATCAGTATGCTTTAACATATTCCTATAAACAATCTCGAATAATTTAATAAAAAGTAGAAAAACATATGCAGTACATAACAGTAGTTATGCTTGATTTTGGTACACTCATGGATTCTAGAACATCCAGAAGACACTGAAATGATTTCCAATCACAGTTAATAACCGCAGTGTTTTTTTAATTAAGCGTGACACATTGCCACTTGAGATATTGCACTAAGCAGGATATGGTGTGATTTCCAATTATAAAACATTTTTCAGAATTCAGCACAAATGATGAAAACCTCTGAAATGACACAAAAGTACAATTACGAGAAAAACGGCGCGTTCTGATGAAAATACATCTGACTTGGTAGGGTTATGGGTATTAATCCAAACACATGCAGATTTGCTAGATTAAAAATTTCCAATGCTGTTCATGTGCACACACACGCTCCAGCAGTCCACGGGTTACAGCTGCTCTATGTCAAACGCCGGCATGCTAGCTTTCTAACTTCATTTTCAGCCATTTTTGGAGGTTACGTTCGCTTCTAAATTCGTTGGAGGGAGCTGAGAAACAAACAGAGATGAGGGGGAGAGGAGAGGGAATTGAAGAGCGATTGGCAAATGTCTGTTGGCAGTGCGAGAGATAGGCAGGGTCATCTCTATTTCACAACAATGATTAGCTCTGCCCATCTGCCGGCTCGATAGGCTCCTCCTGCTGTGATTGCAGTGTTCTCTGTTCAATGTAGCCCTGAAAATTAGTTCATTTGTGCTGCTCAACCCCAGCCTAACTGTACTGAGAACAGGTGCAGCATTCTACCCCCGCACAAAGCCATAGCGAGCGTGTGCGCGCGTGTGTGAATCCTCTACAAGAGCAGCCGAGCAGCAAGTAAAGCAGACTCATCAACTGTGAAAAGATTCACATCTCTCAACACAATGGCAGTAGATTGCAGTGGATCAACTTCCTGTTCAAATACAAGAACCTTTTTCTCCTTCTAGTAGGACGTCTCTCCTTATTAGTGTTCACCTCAGAATTCTGACATCAATACCTTTATACTTCTGAGTATATTTAGCCTGCCACAAAAGCAACTGTGTTAAACCCAATATGACACTAGAACTTTATTCTTGCTGCTGAGAATTTTAAGTGTTTCACATCATTATTATTACTATCCAGATTTAATTTCCGACACATAAGGACAGTCTCAGTCCGTGATTCTTTACTAGTGTGGAAATGGCAGAGCCATCACACAGAAAGATCTGGAGCCCAGAGCCCTGCAGCTTCAGAGTCCGCCGCTATTGTCAGAGCACTTTGCCATTTTGGAAGAAAAGGCCGCAAGAATGAGCTATTTAACCTGTGGGTCACTCAACGGTCACTGCACACACACGCACAAGGCATTCAGGAGAGAATTAGCCACCGTGCGCTGCTCAGACTCGTGTGTGTGTGTGTGTGTGCGTAAATGATAGAGTGCAGAAACAGAGACTCCTGTTTCGAAAACTAGCGATGCAGGACCACCTGTTTTTAATAGACATATGCCAAATGTTGCACAGAACTGCATCCAAATACTGTGTGAGCATTATGGTTACACATGGATTGCATAAAGAAATGAAGAGAAACCAAACAACATATTCTGAATTGTGTGAAAGTAAAAATAGTGGTTGTTGTATTTAAGTAATCTGTTGGATGATGATAAACATCGTCTGTAAAAAATGATTTATCGTCTGTAAAAAAAGAAAAAGAAAAAGAAAAAGAAAGAAAGAAAAATTAAAGAAAATGCAACTGCTATTAGATAATTTTTGTCTCTGTACCACAATATCAGTGGCATTAACAGAGACAATGTTTACTATCTATCTTTGAAAATTTTTACTATAAAACAACAGTACAGTACACTCAGGATAAATGTATCCACCATCTGATATTGATATTCTATATCTATTGTATAGAACAACGGGAAATTATCCTCAAGA